TCCTATAATTTTATTTGCAAGTATTTAAGGTGTTAAATTATCTTCATATTTTTTATTATTATTATTATTATTATTATTATTATTATTATTATTTGAGACATGGTTTCACTATGTAGTTCAGGCTGGCCTTAAACTCACTATATGGACCAGGCTGGCCTTGAACTCACAGTGATCCTCCTGCCTCAGCCTCCCGCTTGCTGGGATTACAGGCGTGCACCACCACCATGACCAGCCTAGATTGTTTTTAATAGGTACTTGAACTGGGAAGGCTACCTCCTCTGCAGCTTGCAGCAGTGCTGCCCTGCATGGGGTTTAAGCGTTAATTCTATAGCCCGATTTGGCTGAGTCAGGCAGTGATTTGTGCAGTCCTTGTGCCGGTTACTGCTGGTCGATATGAGAATGTGCTAGGAACTCGCTCAGTCGCTGCTACCCCTCCGTCCTCCTTGGCCTCACTTGCCTGACTCAGTTTCTCCCGCACACCTGTGGTTTCCAGTGAGGAGAGCAGCCCGGGCCCTTCGTAGCGTCATCCCCAGCACCACCTGGCTTATTCTCGGGCGACTCACCACCTAAGCCAGCCTGGAGCACAGCTGTGCGTGTTCCTCAGTGCTCTTGCTTGAGCCTGCTATTGCAGCTGGAATTGCTGCCCCAGCACAGGTACTAGGAGCCCGTCCCTTCTAGAACCAAAGGTGCTGATGTTAACAGTGAGCTCTGCTCCAGTACGATGAGGTTACCTGGCCCTGGAACTGGGGGCAACTGCAGATTCTGCCACTACCCAGAGCTCCACCAGCTTCTGAGGAATACGTGTTCCCCATTTGTGGTTTGCCTCTGTTTCATTTTGGGCTCCCAGAAATAGTTATAATTTTGTTCACATTTACCAAAAACCGCTGAAATAACCAGAAGACCCTCATCACTTTTCTCTTTTAAAATCTTTTATAATTTTCTAGTAAATGTTGTAATTTATTTTCATCTTCGAAAGGCACATTTACATTCTTTTCTTCATCATCACTGTCCACTGTTGTCCACAAGACTCAGAGCTGGGTTTATGGTCAAATCTTTGTGGGTAGCTAGACATTTCTACGGCACTGGTTTTCTGCCAAAACCAGTGGGAGGAAAAGTGGCACGTCAGGCTTCTGGATGTGTCCAGAAGTAGACCTAAGACTCGTCCTCCATTGTATGTGCACTCACTGGTCCCCACCTGTAAGAGGTGGGGGGAGCCAAGACTCCCATGTTCTCAGGGCAGTGTGCCAAGCTGAGAGGGGGAGAAAAGCTTATCTAATCTTCCTGGCACTTCTCTATTTCCAACTTAACACTTTTTAAGCAAAACCGGGTCTAGATCAGTAGTCTTTCTCATCATTCTTTTCTCTTGTATCTCATTACCAATAATACAGTCCATAAATTTACCATGCTTTACTTTTAGCCAAATGAGTCATCACATAGGAATTTAAATATTTGGAGCAGTCACCTGGCATCATTGCTGTCTGTTATCTTGCCAACTGATTTGGAATTTGAATGTGGGAATTCATCCCTTTTCTCTGTATATCAGACAGCCTATAGTATAAGTGTACAAAGTTACTTCTCTCCTCTGCTTCTTTGATGCTTATCCGTGTGTTCTCTGGTGTTTTTCTGTCATCTGACTTATGAATTCCAAGGAGGATATATGTATGATCAACTTTGCATCAGGATATTGATAGAATGCAATTTTTCCTTTAGTAAATATTATTAGTGTGTACTTAGTGCCAAAGAAACCTTGAGATGTAATAAACAAGGGGGCCTTGCTACATATTTTGAGGGTGGCACAAAGAAGGTTGATATTTACTGAAAAATCATTTATACACACACACACCTATAGACATACATGAACATACACAGTCATGCACACCCTTGGTTCTTAAAATAACCCTGAGAGGTAGACATCATACTCTCCCTATAAATGAGAAAGATTCAGAGTCCAATTTATATATGGCTAAAATTGTACAACTACCAAAGTTCCCAGCTGGGATCCAAGCTCATGGTTTTGGAACAGATGGATCTCGTCACAATGTTATACTATCTTTCCTTAGAATACAATCTGGCACAGACGAAGACCATTCTTGGCAATGTTGGTGGATAAATGTGTGAGCATTTTCTCAGAATTCTACTCTGAGCCCATAAAGGGGAGCTGAGCTGTCCTATGTTCAGGGTTTTATAATATTTATTTTTAAATTGATGGCAAACCACCTAAACCTTCAGGTCTATGAAAATTCTCATTTAAATGCCAAGTAGGTATAATCAATTTATTCTGTGAAGGCAAATGAGATGATGATTACAGATGTTCATAGCAACGAAACCAACTTAAATGTCTGAGCAGAGTCTATGTGTATGAAGAACTTCCCTTGCATGTATTACATATTGTGTTCTGTACCCATTGGTGTAGGGATGAAATAGCACTTTCCATCATCCACTACATATTTATCTGCCTTAGAAAACAGTCTAAAGTTCAGTTTTTGTTTGGTTGGTTTTTTGTTTTTGGTACCAGGGATCGAACTCAGGTCCTTGCACTTGCATAAAGTTCAGTTTTGATTGCTACACCTTTACAATCTGTTGTGTTCTGGTAACACAGAGTTTTTAGATAAGATCCTAATGTTCATTAAATATATAAATTTCAATGGATTGCAAGGTTCTTTGCAAATGCTATAAATGAGGTACTTTATGAATCTTGGTGATTTTACCAAGAACAAAAAGAAAGCCAGCAAGAGGATTAAATGCTCTGTCAGTACCCAAGCACTGCCCACATCAAATAATGGCAAAGCCCTGGATTCAAAAATGTAAGGTGAAATTCAGATATAATTGGGTTTTTTTTCACATATTCCTTTTAGATCATTACTAATCTTGTCCTTGACCCAAATAGGCATGTGGACAGTTGAAATTTTAATACCACAGTGCAATTTCCAAAGGAGAGAACGAGAGAGGGAATGATGCAGTGCTTCTAGAGTATCCAGTGTATTTATAGTATATTTTTCTTTAAAAACATGAATCAAAATATCATCTTCCTAAATATCTGCTGACTTGTCTGTGGGACTCCTATGCAGTATATATGTGATTTTATATGTTTCATGTCCAGTGCTTTTGAAATATTGTCTGAAAATGTTATTCTGTCCTATTTTGAATGTGTCCCTCATGGGCATCGATGAAGTAGAAGTAGCCCCCAGCCGAGAGTCTTCCTGGTGTGCGACAGAGCTTGTCCTCTCTTCGCACCTCACCCTGCTCTGTCCTCCGAATCTGTGGCTGGGCCACCAGGCTTCCATGGGGGAGGTGGAAGGGAAGTCAGGATTCTAAAATCCAGCTCTGTGTCTTGATGAAGGAGAAGGTTTGAGCGGGCTGTGCCCCTCCGCGGTGGTCTGTTTGTATAGTCCTTTCTGTACGGAGTTCTGTCCCAAGTTCTGTCCCCTTCCGGGCAAGGCAAAGCATACAGGGAAGAGTTAGTTTCTCTAGAAAGACCTGCTTACAGAGTTGCTCTTGATTGACATCTGAGTTGTCAGGAGTGTCCACCCACCCAGAACTGATGGGCAGAGTGGATTGGTTTACGTGTAATACCTGCTTTCCTCCCCGGAGTGAGATTCTGATACATCACAGAGGCTGCCAGTGCGAACAGTGCTCAGGCACGGGCTCCCCTGGCTGGCAACACCGTGCGCGTTTTCATGGTGCTCTCTAGGAGACGAAGTGGGGACAGGACCCTCAGCAGCTGTGCCCAGTCCCCCGGGTGTCACTTCTGTGTCCTTGGCTGCTGTCCCCCATAATCCTAGCCAGGACCATGACATACAGTGCATCCCCTAAGTCTTCCCAGGGACTTCTGGGACCTGGGCTCTCATGGTCTCCAGGACTCTGACCTACATAGTGAAAGAGCTCTGCTGGTCCCATACCCTGAACCATGGCACCATTTTTATTCACCCTCTCCAAGAATTACTTTCCTAAGTTCTTCACAAAGGGCTTAATTTGAACGCAATTTCTCTTCCCTCCTGAGACCCTGGACGAGTCATCCAGTGACTGCAGATATTCCATATGCAGTGTTGATACATATTTGAGGCATTCATTCTTTCACATGATTTGTGAAAATTTCTTAACAAAAAACCTGATAGTTTACAAAAGTAAAACAACACAACAACCCTAGGCGTCTGTCTCAGTGAGAGATGGTGCCTCTCTAAACGGGCGACGATTTTGTGTCTTGGTGTATGATCGTCCTTAAAAACAGTTAGATATTGTTTTCCTTTTCACACATGCAGGGAAAAAAAGAAGGAAACTTGCTCTTATTAATTAGGGAGTCGTCTTAGCAAGACAAGAAAATTTATAGTGGCAGAAAACAATGTTTTTACGGTACAGATTTATATTATACAAATCGTCACTAAATAGAAGAATGTTCTGATAAGCACACCATATTTCACTTTAAAAGCACTTATCGCAGGTGTGGTATATTTGCATAGTGTATTTACATAGTTAATTGGTAATATTTATATTATCTAACACTGATAGCTATGCATACCTGCAAATATTATCCTTTATGGTGTGCTCTATGAAGCAAAGGAAGGTATTGTGCTTAGTGGAATGGAAATTTTCTTGTACAGCTCAAAGAGGTATGCTACTTAAATTTCAACTTTCAGTGGAATGTATGTCTGCTTTTAAGTAAAAAATAAATGTTATTCATACTTTGATGATTTCTCAAAAAAGATTAAAAAATATGGCCAAGAAAGAAACGCACAATGTAAATTATTGTGTTTTTTCCCTCAACTATATTCATGTCAGCTGCTTTGACCTCATATTTGTTTTATGCTTATAGATAAAGAGCATTGCTTAAGAGAAGTCGTGAAGCACACATACTCTTTGTTTATCAGTGTCTTGGTGAAGCACATCTCTCTGATAAGGTGATCCTGGATTAGAGAGACCTTTTCACTGGATGTCTTACTTCAGTTTGCTTCTCTATATATTCATTGTGTTTGCTGATAAATGTGCTCTCTGTTGTCACTTAGTTCCATCCCAGCAACCTCCACCCAGAGGAGAAGTCCACAGTTCTTCTGCCATCAGCCTGACCTGGAGTCCACCTGATTCTCCAAATGGCCCCTGGCTTACCTACCGTTTACTCAGGGGTGGTTCTGAAATCTACACATCTGAAGATCAATACCCATACAGTGAGTCTAAGGGCTGGCTGGTGGAAAAATGATATTCTGAGAACTGATGCATTCGTTAAGTTCTTTGACACTGAGGGTGAATATTGTGATTTCCTCCGTTTAACACAGTGGGTTTCAAGCAGAGAGAGAGAGAATTGCAAATCTCATTCTTGATCAAATAAATGCAATAAAAGTGAGAGGCTTATGTTTTGGTAAACAGTTAATGCTTCTCAAATTCTCAAAGATGAATAAAAGCCCCCTCCCAGCACCGATGAGAGAGTGGGGAAGCTGGAATATTCATAAACCTCTGGGGTGTACTCTGGGCTCATTGGCACAACTTTGCAAGTGCAATAAATTGCTAGATTGCACACACATCCTTCTCTTTTGTGTATCATTCGATTTATCAAACCTACTTTAGGGGATTAATCCCAAATGAATAGTTGCAAATGAGCACAACATCACAAAGGGTCCATATCTATACTGTTTGTTAGATCAAAATATTGCAAACCATTCATACATGTGACAGTCTTTTAGAATTATAATATACAGCAGAATAGAATCAATCCCAGTACATAGTTAAGTAAATTGTAGGTATAATAACCTGTAAGATGACATCTTAGTTTATAAACCAAAGAATGAAAAATGTTCATCACACGTTGTTTGAAGCCATTAAGGCTCTTTAAAAAAAAATCTGTGAATTATGTTTTATTTAAAAATACTGGAAAGCTTACCACAAATGAATCTATAATTTCCCTTGGTGCAGATGTTACAGAAAATTTATTAAATTTTATATTCTAAAGAATTTTACTTTTTAAGTTCTCAGATTAAAAAGGACTTTTAAAACTCTGAAATCATAATGCTAACATTCAAATAAATAATGTAATTTTATGCATACATTGCTTTTCCCATAAAAGAAGAGGATGACAACATGAACCTAGCTTGAAATAAGAATGATCTGAACAAGGCAGGAAAGCTACCTTTTTTTTTTTTTTTTGAGACAGGGTCTCATTATGTAGTTCAGGCTGGCTTTGAACTCACTACATAGCCCAGGCTGGCTTCAAACTTGCTGTGATTCTCTTGCCTCAGCCTTCTGAGTGCTGGGACCACAGGTGTGCACCACCACACCCAGCTAGGAAGGCTGTCTTTTTATCTACAACTTTCATAAGATTTTAAAGAAACTTGTAGAAGCCAAACTATTGAGAAATTACTGTATTTAAAACACTCAGATGTTTCAGATACAACTTAAAGGCAGAATAAAAAATAAATTTTAAATAGTTTTACCTCTGTTTTCTCTAGTTTTTCTCCTAGCCCTATTTAGCTACAAGATAGTTTGGCAAAACCATTTAGGAAACCTTCAAATGGTAATTGCAATTCAGTTTTCCATTCTATCCTCTTTAAAACTCAACTTCCAAATTCTAGTTTAACATGCATAGTTAGTAATGTATATAAAACGATCTCAAAACACTGATATTACAGAGCATTTCTTAAAATAAGAGAATCCCTAATTTTAAAATATTATTTGACTTTAAAACTCTTACACAGCATGGCTGTATTTTTATCTACTATAGTAGGTTACACTTTGTAACTAGTTTCATATCACCCACGTCTAGTTTACCATTTCCACTTTCTCCTAACTCTAAATATCTCTTTGGTGCTCTAAGTGTTCTTTGCAGTTAATGGAAACTCTGAACTTCATGATGCAGATTGCAAAGGGAAATGAACATCTGTCTACATCTGCCACATTGGCAAAGCATCCTAAAAACCTGCTACTAAAATGTTTATTTTCTTCCAAATATCAGCATGATCCAGGTGTCCTGAAACTTAAAGTTTTGTGATAGAGGAAGAGAAGAGCTTTAAAAATATTGAAAATGATTTTGAAGATGACAGCACCACTGATTGAATTATTTCTGAAGTTGCAAATTAGGGTCACCCTATTTTCCATATAGGTTAATTTATCAGCAGAATTAAATTTAAAGCTATCTGTGGTACCATTCAATCCATGTTTTCCATAGTAACATATTGTGATTTATTTATAGAACATTACGTGTAAATACAACACTCCAGCACTTTTTCATGATTGCACTAATATAGAATCCAGATAATGATTTCTTACATAATAAATGTAGATGCATTCACTAATCAGACATTTGTATAATCCTATTAAACAAGGTATTATTTCCTAAAACCTTATTTTTCATTTAAAAAATGTCACTTCTGGCATTTCCTGACAATTTCTATAATTAATGATGTGAAAATTATCTGCATGATGGCATTTGAGCGGTAAGAAGAATTGGTTAACATCATCAGAACTTTGTATCATTCTAATAAAACCTTCGTGTTTATTACTCTATTTCCAGGCCATGGCTAGCATGTGTAATATGAAAAGGAAACACTACTTATATTCAGCCCAATGAACACAAATCTTGGGTTAAATAAAGGCATTCAGAATTATAGGTGGAGAATCACTGAACTTTTCAAAGAAAATTAATAGTGTTGCCTTCCAAGCAAGTTTGATCACTTGGTTGAGACCATTATAGAATTCTTTGTTAGAACAGAAACTTTTCTTGTCTGGCCCTGGAGTACCATGGGATTCTCCAGCACAGTAATTTCTATCCTGGGGTCATGATATACTGGTGTAACATCTTTAAAACTTTCACATTATTTGTTATTTATAACAGCTTACCCTGGTAGAATAATTTTAAAGTATCTCGATAATTAACTTTAACAAGGTATACTTAGTGGTTTCTATAAATAAAATGTAATTGATTTGGATCCTCTAGGCATTTAGATGTAGACAAATGAAGAGGTTAAGTTAGCGCTTTGGAATTGAACATGATCAGTTCTTAATATTATCTCTGCTGTAGCCCCAGTCTGGCTTGGCCATAGGAGTTTTATGTCTCCTCGCTGTGTGGAAGAAAACAGCTATCTGGGGGAAAATAGAGGGCTTTAGTTCCTCTTATCTTGCTAGTATTATGTGGTCATGTAAGTTGTACATCTTATGGGGTAGCATGTGTGGGAGAAAGTCCTTAAATGTCACTCTAAGGAAATCTTTCCACAGGAAAACTAGAAGATGGTTATTTTCACATATGGTAATTATTTTTTATCACCTGGAAAAATTAACATAGTTTAAATTTAGAGCTTTAGACAATAACATATCTCAGTAAACTCTGGGATTTCATTTCTACCTCTATTATTTATTTGTCTTTGATACCATTGCCATTGATTGCCCTTACTACTAGTGCTCAAGGCAACAAGAGAGATGATTCAGTTAGCTCTGAGAGAGAGAAACAAACCAAAGATCCAGGGAAAAATGAGAAAAAAAAAATAGAAGAGAAAATGACAAGCAACTATTTTTAAAAAGCTCTTAATACTATTAATTCGTGATATTCTTATTCTTCCCTGGAAAATAGTGCCGATGTGTATGGAAAAGTGATTCATTTTTTTCAGTAAAATTTTCTTTGGTGCTTACTCCAAACTCGAAGCTATCCCAGCTTCTAAATACGAAGCTGGAAGGAAAGGTTTCCCTTACTGAGAGAAGGGCAAGGCAGCCACAGTCACAGTGCAGTATCTTAAATGCTCAGAGCCCACTCAGGATGTGAAGAGAGCGCCAGGTGGTGCTGCGTGGAGGAAAGGCATTCATGCCCGTTGTGGTATGAGAAAATGGTAATCGAGAAAGTTTCACCTTAGAAAGGAGGTGACCTGAGTTGATTTAGCCAGATATTACAGCAGAGGCAGAGAAATTCTTGTGGAAGAAATTACATGTGAAAAGCAGAGAGGTATGTGAAAAGCAGGGTCCAGTTAGGATCCATGAGCAGCGGACGCCATGTTGCTCTGGGAGTGGTGTAACCCTAAGAGGCATCAGTGGAGATGACAAATCAGTGTCGAGCCAAGGACTGTGCAGGCTGCCCCCAAATGCTGAAGTGTGTGGTCAGACATCAAACAACAATCAGCTATAATCTTACACAATTTCTATCAGCCAGAATGGTCAGGATAGGCTCCAGTCCACCTGTGGGCCCAGTGACATGTTCAGCCCTGGGAGCTCTCTGGTTCTTGGCCTACTGTATCAGCATTCACCTGTCTCCATCCAGAGAAGAGTTAGCTCTGTTTCAGAGATGACTAAAACATCTTAGTCTTCTGTCCAAAGGCCACATTAAGAGGAAAACAAGAACTACACCAAACCTCTAGGTATTCTACTACAAATGACACTTTGCTTATACTACAGTGGATAGTAAAAGTAGCCAGTATTTGCTTTATTTTACTTTGAAAAGTGTGAAAGGTATTGCTATTCAAAAAATGATTGGAATTTTTTATGTAGTTAAATAATGTAACAGGAGGGCAACTGGAAATAATTCTTTACCAATTTATGGACTGTAGCTTCTTCCCTTTTTCCTTTTCATTTCAGATATCCAGTACTTCTTAGACACTGCCCTGTCACCTTATACTTCATATTCCTATCACATCGAGGCCACCAACGTGCATGGCTCAACACGGAGTGCAGCTGTCATTTACACAACAAAGCCAGGGCTTCCACAGGGGCACCTGAACCTCAGTTATGTTGTCCCTGTGGGCTCTAACTCGGTGACACTTACCTGGGGTGCACTTTCAAATCATTCTGGTCCTATAGAGAGGTACACTGTGTCCTGTGTTCCTTCAGACAACCTCACGTCATGTGCTCCCTATGAAGGTCTCAAAACCTCAGCCACCATCTGGAATCTGACTCCGTTCACCAAGTACCAGTTTTCGGTCCAGGCCTGCACTAGCAGGGGCTGTGTCCAGGGCTCCCCCATCATGGTGACTACGGCCCAGGCGCCACCGCAAAAGCTGAGCCCGCCCAAGATCTGGAAAGTCGGTGCCACCGAGCTCCGTGCAGAATGGGCTCCACCAGCGGAAGCCAACGGTAAGAGCGCGAGGCCTCCACTTCCCTCTCTTGGACGAGAGCGGATGCACAGGCATTGGGATTGTTCCATGAGATTATGGACACTGTTTTTATCTAGGTAATCCTGTTACAACTGAGAAAAAAATTACTGAAGTTACAGGATAGCATTTCTCTTGGTCAAACAAGTGTATTTCTTCTAATCTAGTAATAAATTCCATTCAATTAAATTGCCCCTTAAAAGGCTAATATTATCTTTGCTCATAATGACATCTGCCATAACACAAATGATGTTTATAATTGGAAGCTCACTTATGAAATGCATTATATTTGACTATGTCACAAGTGAGGGCACCCATAAGCAGTAAATTTTATCTTTTAAATGAAGAAGGATATAAAATAATATGAAAAATATGTATATAGGCTGGCTGACTCCATTAAGTTAATTTTTGTGTTCATACAAGTGAACCCTTGGTTGTATAGGCCAGGCACACATTCATAGATTTTTAGTGATTTATACCATGTACCTATTATGGCAAAACCTTTCCTCAGATAGTTTTAAGTTTTTTTGAAAAACTGGGTAAAAGCTGACTGTAATATTTATACACATAGGGCTTATATTAAACAGGTAATTAAATAAAAATCCCCAAATTTACAAATATGCAAATGGGAGGTACAGTTATTGGATTTTATAAATGAGCTAGCCATGCATGACCATCGATCCTGAAAAGGGTTGATTTACCTATGATAAAGCAGAGGTATTTTGTGCTTATATACTGTCTCTTTTGGTTTGTTTTCCCACGAATATGCACTTAATAGTTTTTACATCCATCTAATCCAATAATTTGTTGTCTTTTATAAGTCATCTAGATTACTGAATTGCAACGTCTAGATTACTAATGCAATTACAGGTGATGGGGTTAGAATAATGAATAGCCCGAAGTCTTCTACCTACCTCTCCCCAAGCCCCCCCCCCAACGTAGCTCCTTTGTCTGAGTGCCCACGGTCCATTGTTTAACTTTGGTAGGAATTGTTATAAAATATGAGTTGTACATGAAAAGACCGCGATCCACGGAAGAACTGCGAGTGTTTCAGAGCAGTGGCTGGCTCAGTCCTCAGTCTCCTGCAGAACCAGCCCATGAAGACACACAAAGACCTCCTCAGACAGCTGCTGCCATCATTGGTCTGGAGCCCTACACCGAGTATGCGTTCAGGGTCGCAGCCCAGAACATGGTCGGGAGAGTGTTTTCCACCTGGATCTCAGAGAGGACAGGAGAAGCAGGTAAAAACCAAGGCCTTCAGCCCCACTGTCAAACTCCTGAATGAAATTGTTGCCTGAAATTCAAGGAAGCAGTGGGAAAATGGTGCGTTTTGGAAAGCATGCATTAGAAACTTACATAGGCCAAGGAAAATCTTCATATGTGGGTGGGCTTCACAAATGACTCATTATATATTATTTTCAGTAAGTTTTACAGAAAAAAAGGAAATACTTTGTCTTTTAATTCATGAAGGGAGGGGAGGTGATGTCCCTGTAGTTACAGTCTTTGGAAAATGCTTCCCAACACCAGTTGGTTTCCAATTCTGAAGGCGTTGGCCCTGCTGGCATCTTGCTCCACATCCATCCCAGTGGGATAGATAACTGTCACCAACCTCACAGTTCTGTGTTTATTTTTCTTTTTCTTTCTCCAAATCAAATAGTGTGGCCACTACTGCACACAATAACAGAAATCTGGGCACTAAAATCTGTTACTCAACAGTGTGGCTGTAAGTAGCTGGCATTGTGGTAAAGAAGGGCAAACATTTTAGTTTTCCTAAGGTATCTTCATTAAGGCATGTGGGCTACTTTTTAACTTTCTATGTTATTCTTTACATTCAGCACACTCCAAATTTCATGAGCATTTACAAAACAATGACTCTTTGCTCCACTCTGACTCCATATAGATCCAAAGAAACCCAAATCCTGATCTCAATGTGATCTGTTAGGAGGATGGCAGCAGCTTTGGGTCGATGTCCAAGGGCATCATTTCATGAATAAAATGTGCATTGTGCTTGATCCTCTTAATGACACCCGCCATCTTGAACAAATAATAGTGCCATGATCGCATACGCGATGAGCCATGGCATCAGGAAGGGGAAAACCAAGGTCAGAAATGAGAAGAAGTAATGGGTGAAACTGCAGTGCTGGACCCTCATCATCTTATGGGTCACTGGCTAATGGAAGTGCAGCAAGGTCCTCTGATGACCCTCCTTCGCTTAGCACATTTAAAGCCCGTATTAAGAGTGCAGGAGTGCCAGAGGGAAGTTGTGTGTGTGTGCACCCTGAACATTTCTGCTGAGACTGATTGAAAACTTGGAGCACTTCTTTGGGGTTATTAAAATATTTTAGATTTACCTCTTTCTAAAGAATTTTATTTTCCCAGCTGGACTGGTTTGGCTCTGTAAAACATTTCTTTACATGAGAAATCCAGGACATCATTGTGTGTTGCTCTGAACTTTGTGGACTGAGACGTGTTCTGTTTCTGTGATTTCTTTCAAATATTCCTAATTCCTGTGGTTTTCTACTCAGTTATCCACTAGCTATCTTTACAAACAAACATTTCCAAAGTCCTATAAGATTTTTATTTTATAAATGCAAAATAGTTCATACTATAAAGACAGAGAACATTCTTATGGATTATCTTTTTAAAAAGCAATATGTCTATTTTTTTCAAATCAAGATATTTTATAAGGAATATCCCATTTCAGAAACTGGAATAAATATGTGAATAAGTTTGAAAATGTATGGGGACAGTGTTCTTGGTTGTGATGTTGTTGTTTTTGCCTTGGGTAGCACCTGTCTTCATGCCTCCTCCTTCAGTCTTTCCCCTCTCCTCGAACTCTCTCAATGTCTCCTGGGAGAAGCCTCCAGAAAATGTGACAAGAGGAGGAATTGTGGGGTATCTCATCAGTATGGTCTCTGAGCAATCGCCTCAGCAATCTGGCCCGGTGGTGTTTCAACAGGTACTGCTATTTTTAGCCTATTTCTCTTGGTATATGTCAGTTGTTTCTAATATATGATATGCACGCACTGAAACGAAGTTGCTGTAATTTTAATTCCTAAGACCCGATTTTTCCACCTATCCTTAAATATCTGGCAAGAAGTTAACTTTCAGTAGCTCTTTGCTTTGTATTATTTAGACCCGCAATGGTCTACTTAACCAATCCACAATCAGTTGATATTCATATTGTATTAGTTTTCTTAGAGAATTAATTAATTAAATCTTTCTTTCTAGTTCTTTAGAAAAAGCCTGAAAAATAGTTTATCATACATTACAACAAAGGTTATGAACATATTCAGTGTTTTGGATAAACACTCACAAATTGCCTTCAGGTCATTTCCATTCCATCCAGCAGTAATTAAACTTGTAATGACAGCTCCCAGTGACAAAGGGCTCACTGTGTTTCTGAGCTTGGTCATCTGAGTCACAGGACCAGCACGGAAGGTGATAGGTTCTTGCTCTTGCCAGGTGAGAGTTGTGGCTGATGTATCATCCTGGCCAGTTTTCCAGCCTGGGAGTGGGCAAGGTCCCCGGGATGAGCCATTTTGTGTTCTTGTTTGCCCAGTGCCTCTTTGGAGGGACCTCCTCTTTGGTGGGCACTAATATAGGAGATAAGAAGATCTTACACTTCATTCTCATTTCCTCAGTTTTCCCCCAGGGTTCCTATTCCCGATTTTCCAGTCAACCTTCTCTTATGCCCATGGCTAATGTACCCAGCTGCTGCCATGTAGTCTGTATACATATAACCCAGAGGCACTTCTTTTTCCACAAAAGTAGACAAGCAGGTACATGGCCTCAAGTTCTTGCCTTGAGAGGATTTTTCCCCTGCTGTTCTTTAGGACCTGCACAGTGGGATTACAGAGCACACCCATCCTTTCTGACTTTTAGTCAGACACCAAGACGGCAACACATCTGTGAATTAACCACTGTGCTTCCCCTTTCAGGACCTGAAGGAACCCTATGGGTTTTCACAACTGGGCTTGTGCTCAATCCCAGGTATTCGCTTCTGTCTTAGGGTGAGTCCCTGCTGAGCTCACCTGACTCTTAAGACCTCCCATGTCTGGAAGAACCCAGCTCTTGAGTGTACCTCTGACTACGATGTCATTTGTGTTCCCTGCTGACATGCTGTGCTTTAACTGAAGCCTGGTAACATGCCAGGAGTGTCTACTAAATGGTGCAGGGTTTCCATTGCACAACAGGGCCTTGCTCCAGACCCTGGGGGCCTATCTTCTGACTCTTTTCATGACTACTTTTCCCCATCACCATTGCCTGAAATAAATAGGTTCTATTAGGCTTTCTGTCCCAAAGGACTCACCTGCCTGTACATCAGTCTGTATCTGGGTAGAGCCCTTTCCTACTTGGGAGCCGCTGAATGTGGCAGCACTCGTGACACCTGGTCACGTGGACAGGGACGTCCCCGGGTGTGGAGTTTGCTCCCTTTGGCCCCTGAGGAGGTTTACCAGACATCGTGCTTCCTTCTCAGTGGTTGTAGATGGGTACTGTAGTTTTCTTTTACTTCGGAGTGAACGTCCTAGCGTGTCTCAGACAACTTCGATCCCTAAAACCTTCTCTGATGGGGCACATCCTTTAGAAACCCAAGCTCCCACTCTCTGGCGCCCATGTTTTACCAAGACTTATACATACCTGCTGTTTCTTGCTTATCTGATCTATTCAACATGATGTCATTGATACAGAGAAGGAACACCGTCAAGGAGCCTTTTATAGTTTGTCTGAAATTGGTAATTAATTATCTTCAAATTGTCTATGTCTTGTTTGAATGCATTGATAACAACCAGCAAAAGCCATCTGATTGTGTAGTCCTTATCATTCCGACTTTCCTCAAAGAAGTCCCGGTAATTAGGAGTTCACCACCAACTGAAGTTTAAAAATTGCCATGCTTGAGCTAGGCCATGAGCGCCCAGTGCTCAGGTTTCTTCCTGTAGTGAGGTCCTCATGGCAGCTAGCTGGGGAATCTCCTTCCTGGGGCCTCTTCTGACCTTGTTTCGTGGGTCAGGTGCCCGGGAGATGTGCGCCATGCTCCTTGTGTCCAGGAGGCCTCTCGGCAGTGCTCTCAGAAGGAGCACATGCAAAGCAGCAAGAGAGGCAGGGCTGAGCAGAATAAGGAGTGGAACTGTTAGGCAGCGGTGAAAGCGGCCTCATCTGCCGTGGGAGTGGTGCTGGGGCTGAAATGACCTCAAAGCTTCCCCCAGATTGATCCAAGAGGTCAGATCTTGGTCCCTCCATGGTATTTGTTCCCTAGGAATGCCAAAACAGATTTTTCACAAGTGGAGTGGCTTAAAACAACAGTACTTCGTTCTCAGAGTTCTGGAGGCTGGAAGTCTGAGATGAAGGTGTAGACGGGTCCCTGCCCCTTCCCCAAGCTCCAGAGGAGCATCCTTTCTCACACTTTCTGGCTTCCAGTGGCTGCTGGTACTGCTGGGCTTCCGGAGACAGAATTTCAGTCTCTACCTCTGTCTTCACAGGGCCTCCATCAGCCTTTTTGGGGTGTCCTTCTCATTTCTACAAAGGCACCAGCCACTGGATTTAAGGCTAACCCTAAGTACTGGATGACCTGCCTAACTAACTACATGAGCAAAGATCCTGTTTCCACAAGGGTCTCAGGGCTTGGGTAGACATGAAAATCTGGGAGACACTCTTCAATCCACTAGGAATAGCTGTGCCATTTTTCTAAGACTTTTTAGTGGACAGAGCATATATACAACGCTAAATATTATTTTTTACATACTAGACAAAGAAAAAGTCAATAAATAATTTGATTATTTGTACTTTTAATCTAGATATGTGTTGACTCATTGGCAGTTATCTCATGATAAAAACATAATTAGTGAAATACATATCTTTTTGCTTAAACAATTTAGTCTACCTATCTTCTTTATTAGGATATTTAAGGTAAATTTACAATTATAACTGCTGTTTGGTCTTTAATTGTAATGCTTTATTCTGTATTTATCATTGGTGTTTTGTTTTATTATTGTTTTTATTGTTCTTTTGTTGTTTTTTGCAAGTTACAAAGTTTTAAATTCAATACCTAAGCAAATATTCCAGAGATTATTTTTTGTATTCCTACAAAGAAAATACTAACAATATTACTCCTAGTGTTACTAAACTTTATAGTCCTCTGCATTTATGTTTATTTATGGAAGATCACTTTATATGAATGTACGGTCATGCGTCACTTACTGACAGGTAGGTTCTGAGAAATGTGTAATTAGGAGATGTCATTGTGCAGGTACCTAGTGGTGAACCAGTATAAAACAATGCTCCACGGGGTCTCTCGATGCAAATAAGAAACATGGTGAACACGAGATGAATGAGGACTGTTTAAACTATTTTATAAATAATGACAGGCAACATTTATTGGGGGTCTTCTCCTTGTACTGGGTATTTTACACACGATCGCATTGACATATGCCCATTGCCAGGCAACCTTACTCTATTGTTGTTTTTTCCATGCTGGAGGTTCAACCCAGGGCATTATTCGTGCTAGCCAAATGCTCTACCATTGAGCTAAGCTCTAATTCCCTTAACTGTTTATTCTTTTTTTTTTAAACATAGAACCTTCTAAGATAATGATATAATATAGAGTAATGGTATACTTTAAAGTAATGACTAAGTGTATAGTATAGTAAATACGTAAACTGGTAACATAGTTGTTCATCATCATTTTCAAGTATTAAGTGTGGTACATAACTGAACAGGCCATACTTTTATACCACTGGCAGCCCAACGGTTTTGTTTCTCCACACTGACATCACCACAAACTTGTAATTCCTTGTGCTACAATATTACAATGGTGGCACCATTAGTCAATAGAAATATTTCAGCTCCATCATAATCTTGAGGGACCACAATCAAAAATGTAGTCAGTCTGGTCCATTTTTTACCAAAATGTGATTGTGTGGTACATGACTGTATATCAGTAGGCCTACGTAAAATAATTTTATATTCATAGTTGGTGTTCTACACTTTAACGACTCTTTTGCTAAATATAATTTGCATCCACAGCCTAAGAAAATTTACATGACTGCTTTTGATCAATTGTAGTTATAACAATGGGATTGATTCTCAGTGTTGGTTGGGTAATTACTTGTTTATGGACTATGGAGTTCCTCACAGGCTCCTTTGCTCAAATCTGCTATTTTCAATTGAAAGTACTTGATTAAGACAATATTTCAAAAAAATGTAACTATTTGAGCCGATCTGCATATGCTAATTTGTATAGGAAAGATAATTGAGAACTGACCTCATGTGGCTGCTCAGTAATATGTTTCATCTTTATTTCCCTTTTGTTTCTGTGGCTTTTTGTAAAAACCTAAATGATGGGATTGATTTAACATAGTGACACCACTCTCTTCTGGTTCCATCAAATAGCATGTGGCATTCCTACTTTGGGCTACTTTTGGCCAAGCCCCATGGTTTTGTTTGGACTTTTTCACAGTAACAGTGACAATGTCGCCATCTTTATCTCTACCATTGGTGACAATAACCAGTCTACCATGCTGCTTTATGAGCCAATAACTTGGTTTTCTCATTTATCTACTCAGGAACTGGATTATTACCTCATAAAACAGTGTGATTGTACAATTATCAATTAAATCCTGGCTTGTTGAGGCTCTTTTTAAAAAATCCCTTTCCTAATAGCAATAATTCCCTCTGTGTGAATTCATGGATCTTTGACTGCCAAGCATTTGCTTTTCCCCTAGTTATCTGCTACCTGACCATTCTTATTATTTCTTGCCTTGAAGCTGTTGCACACGGCTCAATCCCAGGAGCTCTCTTACACCGTCAGAGGACTGAAGCCTTACAGGATATACATATTCACCATTTCCCTCTGCAATTCGGTTGGTTGTGTAACTAGTGCTTTGGGAGCAGGGCAGACTTTAGCAGCAGGTAAGCATGTTTTAATGGACATGAAAAATATATTGTATATTTATAAACAAATGCCTACAAAGCTTCTCTACTTTGGGCTTAATATTTGTCTTTTCTGTTCTCTGCGACTTGCTCACTAACCCTGATTGCTGAATACTGTGATGTTTCTAAACAACAAAAGAAAAAGTTCAGTGTAAAGAGGTGGCTGAGAGACCGAGTTGCAGCCATGCCATAAGAATTAGAGGCAGAGGGCCCGTGATTCCAGGGTTTGGCACCAGCCTGGATGCTAGCTGCGTTTTGACACTTGTGAGAAGGGTTTAGGAAGCTCCTTTGGATGGTTTCAGGGTACTACTCACTCCTGCCTCACCATATCCAGGAATTATAGGATTGCCCTGATGTTTTATTTTGTCTTTACTGCATAGACAATTGCTTACTTACTATTTTATTTATGCCTAATAGAAGCCCCTACATCTGTAACTTTAAATAAGAAACTTGTCATAGACTGAGTAGGAGTTGACTTGCATCATTTTTGTTTGTTTTATCTAGAGCCATCTAGATTTACGCAGATGTGATTACAGGTAGCACTAACACCTATTTAATTTAGTAACTTAGTGCTTGCTATATTTTCAAATCAAGGTTTTTCTGCCAGCAATCCAATATGGTTTAATTTGTCTATCTTTAAGAGATAATGGAAGGAGTTCCAGAGAGATGATTAAAAAATAAGGTGAATGTTTATATTTTTTAAATTTATTACAATAAAAGACACATTGTTGTTAATCCCCCTCAAAGTATTCCCTCTCACTTTAAACACACTTATCTCATTGTTCTTGCCACTTTTGAAAGCTGTTCACAAAGTCCTCTTTCATAAGTGTCTTCACAAAGTACAATAAAAATATAGTGAATGCTTCTCCAAAGTGCAATTCTTTGGACAGGCAGGCCGGTAAGAACATTACAGTAAATCCTCACCCACCTAATTCACCGGGTCTAGCACCATGTGACTGCTAGCCCTTTCCAAAACTTAAGATAAGCATGAAAGGTAAGTGTTTTTAATCTATTCCAGACATCAAGGCAGCCACAACAGTGCAACTAAAGACACTCACAAAAGAGGACTCCAGAACTGCTTCCGAAAGTGGCAGAAATGATGAGATAAGTGTGTAGGCAACAATGGGAAGTTTTTTAGGGGGATTAATGACAAGGTGCCTTTTATTAGAATTTTTAAAATTTAAACATCCATACACTGTTTTTGACCATAGCTTATATTTGTTTCTTTTTTTATTAAATTCTTTTATTGGTACATTTTAGGTATACAACACATTTACATTTCTCATTGGGAACTTGTACCTTTACGTGATGCATCTTGGTTCTTATTTTTTCCCCATTCCTAGCCCTCCCTTCACCCCCTCCACCCTTCCCTAGTTACAAAG